CAGGTCCATCCAAAACCAGCTTAATACATCCTATGGAAACAGGGTTAAGTCACAGTGTGATGTAGTGGAAAGGGCACTCATTGGCTTTGGATTTAGAGGATCTGGGTTCAAATCCTATCTTTGATGCTTACAATCTTTAAGAATTTGGGCAAGACTCTTTGTCTCCCTGGGCCTCAGTTTCCTCATCTCTAACATGAGGAGGTGTCTTCTGAGGTCCATTCCAGCTCTCGATCTATGATCTTAAGTCTCTAAACCTTTCTGGACCTTAGTTTCCTCATTTATAACATGAAGATAATACTTGCTCTTCCTGACCAGGAGGAATCGTCCCGGTCATTGTCAGCTCCCATTTTTACAGGCCTTCAAGGTTTTCAAAGAGCTGACGCCCATCCTAAATTGGCGTCTCTGTATCTCCCGTCCACTTTCCCTAGCTCTGCTCTGGTGCCAAGCAGAAGTCAGATCCCTCTGATACTTGATATCTCTGAAAGACAGTTCCCACTGTTCTCTCCCCTACCCTCAAGTCTCCTCTTTGCTCCAGAAAGCTTCAGTTACCTCCACCATTCTCATGCTGTGTGGCCTCGAGGCCCTTCGTTATCATGGTCACCCTCCTCTGGGGGCTCTCCAGCTTGTTCTGCACGTGCTACCCAGAACTGCACAGAGTATTCCGGGTGGATCTGAGTGGGGCAGAGCACAATGGGTTTCATGCTGATGTTGTGTTTTTCATTCTTGCTGATTCATGTAAAGGCACTTTTAGGCTTTCCAGTGACCTCAAATCCAACTCAGGCCATAAATTAAAAATGTCTTATCTCTATAAGCGTGCAGTCAAGCGGATCAGCACAGCTGATTGGAGCATGGCCTAGAAGCTGGATCATACGGCTCGTCTGGATGGGTCTGTCGGTTGGGCTGCTGGAAACCATGAATGAGGATAATGGGGACCATAAGATCTAGATTTGGAAGGGACCTCATAGCTCATTTAATCTGACAGAGAAGGAAATTGAGGCCCTGAGAGATAGTCTTGTCCAAGGCTATACAGGTAGTAAGTAGCTGAGCTGGGACTCATCGCCAGGCACTTTGACTCAAAATCTGATTACTAAATCATAGATATATAGAGTTGGAAGGCACCTTAGAGTTCATCTAGTCAAACCCTCTCATTTTACAGATGAGGAAACTGAGGCACAGAGAAAGGAGGTGACTTGCCCAAAGGTAGTAAATGGCAGAGATGAGATTTAAACCATAGTCATCTCCTGCCAAATCCAGTATTCTTTCTGCTAAATTATATTTTCCACTCAAATCAATGAACATACATTAATTAAGTGTCTACTATGTGCTGGACCATACCCAGTAGCACTGGATATACAAAGATGAAAATGAGATAATCCCTTCCTTCAGTCAATCAGTCAGCAAACATTAACTGCTTACTGTGTGCCAGGTACTGTGCAAAGTGCTGAACATACAAAGACAAACACAGTCCCTGCCTTTGCATTTTTTTTTTTGGTGAGGCAATCGGGGTTAAGTGACTTGCCCAAGGTCACACAGCTAGTAGGTGTCAAGTGTTTGGTCTGAGGCCGGATTTGAACTCAGGTCCTCCTGACTTCAGGGCTGGTGCTCTATCCACTGTGCCACCTAGCTGCCCCTCCTGCCTTTGCATTTGAATAGAGGAAACAACATATATGTAACCAGGGAGCTACATCACAGAATAGATGGAAGGTGATCTAACAAAGGAAGGTCCTAGTGGCTGGGAGGACTAGGAAAGGCTTCCTGAAGACAATGGGATTTGAGCTGACTTGATATTGTACTGGCATCACCACAGTATGCCATCCTGCCCCTGGCCACATTGGCAGGTGTGAATAGTCAAATTGTGGACTGGTACAGGGAGCATTGCTTGGTGTTTAATTAGCAGCTGTTGCTGGGTGTTAGACTATCTGCAGCTTGCCTAGAGTGGGGGAAGAGAGAAGATCTCAAAGCAATGGGTACTGGGGAGAGCTCTGCCTTGCAGGTGGAGTCCCTCTGGATCAAGGTGAAGCCACGGTGGCAGGGATGCTTTCTGATCCAGGACATGTCTGTCTTGGCCCAGGAAGGGAGGATCTGGATTCTCTGACCAAATGGGGACATTCTTCTGAAAACTTTAGCAGTCGACTTTTAGAGCAGGAAGTCCAGAATGGCCCCTTCTTGTCTTTCTGAGTTACTCCCCTTCCTCCCACCGTCAAGAGAAGCCAACAGCATCCCTAGTGATGAGAAAAGGCTAGACTCCAAGGCCAGAAAGCCTGAGCTCAATCCCCCCATCTTCCACATAGTAACAGTACCTTTGGGCATGCCATGACCTCTCTGGGCTTCAATTTTCTTTTTAAAAAATGTTTTATTGACATCTTTTTGTTTTTACATCACCTTCATTTCCGAATATGCCCCTCCCCCTCCCCTACTAACAAGACATTCCTTGTAACAATGAATAAAAAATGGGGGGGGGGGAAGCAGTTCAGTAAAAATAACAAATCAACACATCGACCAAGTCTGGCAGTGCATGCAGTATAACCCACCCATCGTCCCTCGCCTTTGGAGGGAGGTACCTTTTCTCATCCCTCCTCTCAGGGCCAACCATGGCCATTATAATTGCACAACATTGTTCTTTTCATGTACATTGCTGTAGCCATCATGTATACTATTTCTAGTTCTTCCTCATCTTCCTCATGTTTCTCTGAATTCTTCATAGTGTTTCTTACAGTGCAATGGTATTTCATAGAACTCATGGACCACAATTTGTTCAGCCATTCCCTAATCGAGGGGCATCTATTTTGTTTCCAGTTCTTGGCTACTACAAAAACCATTTCTTTAAATATTGTGGCATACATGGGGGCCTTACTTTCTTTCTATCTTTAACTTCCTTGGGGCATATTCCCAACATGGGATCTCTGGGTCAAAGTGTATCTATAGTTCGGTCACCCTTTTAGCCTAATTCCAAACTACTTCCCAAAATGGCTAGACTATTTTAATTTTCTTGTATGCAAAATGAAGTGTCTGGGCTAAGTGGTCTTTAAGGTCCCATTGAGTCTCCATGACCTTTCTGAATCTCAGTTTTCTCATCTGTAAAATGGGGATCATAATGCTTATACTACTTACCTGTGGGCTTGTTGAAGAAAGTGCTTTTGCAAACCTTAAATTGCAAAAGTGAGAGTTGTTTATTATTCCTTTGATTTTTTGGGGTCTCACCAGCCTCATGTCCCTCTCCTCCCCAACTTGGTCTCCCCATTGGAGTCAGGCCCTTCTCCATATTGGGTTCCTTGTACAAAATCTTCATTCTAGCCTCCATGCCTTGGTTTCTGCTGGGTCACCCACCTTGAATATCTTCTCTCCTCCTCCTTTTGGAAGATAATCCCTGTTTTCCCTGTCTTTGAAAAGAAGGCTTCCCCTGACTGAAATCATTCTGTTACTTCTTTCCTTCTGTATGGACTTTTCGTGGTTGGTCCACTTAGGCATTTAGTCAGTCAATGAGTATTTTTTAAGCACTTACTGTGTGCCAGGCACTGTGCTAAGTGCCGAGGATACAAAAAAAGGCAAAAACAACTAACTGTCTCTGCCCCTGAGGAGCTCACAGTCTACTAGGGGAGATATCACTGCAATAGCTAGGTACGTAAAGATATATACAAAGAATTCGGGAGATATTCTGGGAGGGGAAGGCACTAGCATTGTCGGGGGAGCCTAGAGAAGGTGGGATTTGAGCTGCATCTTGAAGGAAGCCAGGGGAGCCAGGACCCCAAGGGAAGGAAGGAAGAATAGTCCAGTGGTAGTAGATAACCAATATAAAGGTGTGGAGGTGGAAGATGAAGGGTCTTGGGTGAGGAACAGCAAGAAGGTGAGTGTAGTTGGATTGTAGAGTGTGCAGACAGGAGTAAGGTGTAAGAAGACCAGAAAGGTAGGAAAGGGCTTTGGATGTCAAACAGAGGGGGTCACATTTGATTACGGAGCTGCTACGAAGCCATTAGAGCTGATGGAACAGTGGGGGTGAACACTGTCCGATTGTTTGGCAGCTGAGTGGGGGATGGGCTAGCATGGGAAGCTCTCAAGGAAGGGAGACCAATGAGGGTCTCCAGGTGAGAGATGGTGGAGAATCAGGGAAGTGAATATCTCAGCGCACATCTAATGTGGTCTTTGCCTTCATGGAGTCCAGAATGTGGAAAGCTCTGAGAAACTATGGGTTTAGGATTATAAGCTTTAGTAATGAAAGGGACCTCAGAGTTCCTCTAATCCAGTCCCTTTATTTTACAGAAGAGGCAACTGAGGTACAGAGAGTGGAAGGGACTTGTCCAGTGTCAGACAGGCAATGAGGTGGCAGAGCTGTGGTAGAATGAATGTGGTGTTCAAATCCTTTCTCTGATGCTTAATTTATCCATGTTTAGGTGATAATAATAATAACAAGAACTAGCATTTATACGGCACTTTCCGTTTGCCAAATGCTTTACATATATAATCACAACAAGCCTATGAGGTAGGTGCTATTATTATCCCCATTGTACAGGTGAGAAAACTGAAGCTGAGAAAGGTTTAAGTATACTCAGGGTCACACAGCTGGTAAATGTCTGAAGCAGAATTCAATCTTAGCTCTTCAAGTCCACTGTTCTGTTCAACATGCCAACTAGCTGTGGCTCTGAACCTCAATTTCCTCATCTGTAAAATGGGTTTAAAAATACTTACAGTTATCAGCCTCACAGGTATGTTATGGGTAAGTGTTCCATAAACCTTTAAGCAGCAGAGTCAGGATTCAAAGTCAGGCCCTCAGATTCTAATGGAAATAACTCCTATTTACTATGCCATGCTGCCTTTAGTAGAAGGCAGTTAAAACGGGAGTCTCCCCTGAGGGCAAGAGCCGGGTCTGTTCTTTCTGTCCATCCCCGCTCAGGGCCCTCCTCCCACAGTGCCTGCTGTAGTCCCGAAACCACATCCAGTCCTCCAGAAATCAACCCACGAATGAAAAGAACATGCCAAACCGCTGACCAATAGGGGAAAATGGTTTCGTTTCTTTTAATTAAACTGACCGAGGAAGCCAAGACACAGACAGAAAGAGACCGAGAACAAGACTTGGAAATAGTTTTAGAAAAGAAATGAAACCCGACCGATGGACGGAGATGTGGATGGCGGATGGAGCCACCGAGAGGACAGGGGTCCCGGGCCTTCACGTCAACTCAAGGATCACTGTGAGGGCGAACACCCAAGTCAGCCTGGCCCCAATGGGGCTGGGAGCCAAACCTGCGGAAACACGGGGAGGTGAGGGTTAACGTTTGGGATCATCCAAGATGGGCCTTTTGTGTCTCCTGCCCCACCAGTCAAATCATCAATTTAGAGCTTGGAGAGATCTAAGAGGTCATCAAGTCCAGCCCTCTCCTTGGTCCTGAGAGGAGAGCGACTTCCCCAAGATCACTAGGTAGAAAGTAGAAGAGTTAAGATCTAAGCTGAGGTTCTCTGACTCTTTCCTCTTCCCTTTCTCTCTCTCCCCCTTTTCTTCTTCCTTCCTTTTCTCTCTCCCCCCACCTCTCTCCTTCCCCTTCCCCTTCCTTCTCTCCATCTCCCTCACCCCTCTCCCTTTCTCTCTCCCCCTATTTTTCCCTTCTCCCTCTCTTTCCCCCTCCCTCCTGTCCCACCCTCTCCCTCTTTCCCTTCCCTCTCACCCTCTCTCTCCTTCCCTTTCTCTCTCTTCCCCTTTCCCCCTCTCTCCCTCTCTCCCTTTCCCACCCTCTCTCCCTCTTTGTCTTTCCCCTCCCACTCTTCTCTCTTCTTCTTCCTTTCCTCCCTCCTCTCTCCTCTCTCTCCTCCTCTCTCCTTTCTCCCTTCCTCTCCTTCTCTCCTTTTCTCTCCCTTCCTCCCTCACTCTTTTTTTTTTTGGCTAGACAATGGGGATAAGTGACTTGCCCAGAGTCACACAGCTAGTAAGTGTTATGTGTCTGAAGCTGGATTTGAACTCAGGTCCTCCTGAATCCAGGGCTGGTGCTCTATCCACTGCGCCACTTAGCTGCCCCCTCCCTCACTCTCTATCCCTCCTCTCCTCCTCCCTCTCTTCCCTCCCTTTCCCTCATCCCTCTCTGCTTCATTCCCTTTGTCTCTGTCTCCATTGGAAAGAGCAGTGTCTCTGAAGTCAGAGGATCTGTGTTCAAATCCCATCTCCAATGCTTACAAACTGTGTGACCTTGGGAAATATCTCTGGGCCTCAGTTTCCTCATCTGTTAAATGAGGGATTGGGATAGATGGCCTCTGGGGTCCCTTTGACTACAGATTGAGGGTCCTATGATTTTAAATCCAGTACGCTTTCCATCACATCCCACTGCCTGACATGATTTAATTTCATTTAATTTCCAGTCAAACAAATAGAGTTGGGACAGTGTGTTTTTCTGAACTGTCTAGCTTCTCCTTCCCTCCTTCAGTGTGGATAATTGGGGAAGGTCTGCATATAAAGAGCTATCAGGAGTCACCTCATTCACTGTGTGAAACAACCTAGAAGGAATTAAAGACATTTGATTAAAATTTAATTAGGGATGGCATTCGAGGCTGTTTGATTTGCTCTTGGACTCAGGCTGTAAAAAGAAAAAAAAGATTCCCCCCTAGAGAGCACCTTTCATCTACATTCTCCAAACACCTCATTTCACTAGAAGTGGAGATAAGAGGAAACAGGACAGGAGACTGAGAAGGTGCACAAGTCACTGGCTGCATACAAACCTAGCTGATGCGGAGGACACATCCCAAACCTGGACTGTCCTACAGTCTTCTGTAGCTCCCTATTGCTTACTGAGGAAAGTGAAAATTCTTTTTCTTGGTGTTCAAGGCCCACACTATATTCGGTTCCAAACTACCTTTCTTTTTCTTTCTTTCTTTCTTTCTTTCTTTCTTTCTTTCTTTCTTTCTTT